AATTTCTCATCAATTAAATTTGTAAACCTCATTGCTACTCTTTGCTATTTAAAACTATTCAGTTGAAGTGAAGTTCCTACTTCCATGTGAGCACAGCCAGATCGTAGACAATCAGCAGTGGGCATAACAAAAGGAAGTGGAGGGGAAAAAAGAATAGCCTCCGGAGGGATAAACAAAGCTGCTCTTATTTACCTTTGGCAGGTGACCATGGTGTACGCTCAATGCACTCTGTGGTGTCATATCAGTAGATCCTGTTATGCATTGGTTTTTTTTGTGTCCTTTAGATAACTTGTTATTCCTTTGATCTCTTTTTTTTCTAATGTACAGTTGCAAAACTGTTTAGATCTTTTCTTTTCTTGTTTTTTACTCCCTGGCATTAGTCACAATGTTACTCTCTCATCGCATTCTCTCACCCTCCTCCTCTCCTGCCTTGACCATCGCTTCACAGATTCACCACACACATGCAATTACCCGACCGTCTCTGCTCCTTTCTCTTGTGTCTACCACTGAGGTCACAGTCTGGGTTTTCTTCCTCAAGCAACACAGCCGTGCTTCCCATGACTGTAACTCCAGCTCTGCCTGCAACTCTAGACCCAGCTATAGTCAGTCATCTGACGACGAGACAACGGTAAACCTCCGGTCACGCGCTTAGACACGCTTTGACATTCAGTCATGTACTGTGTGGACTGAATCATGCAATCGATGTCCAAACTGCAGCACATATTCCATATCTCTAACAGACTGGATGGTGTAAGGCTGGCTTCAGTGTGACTCTGAGGTAAATTAACAAATCCTGAAAATATCTCTGGGAAGAGATGTTTTTCTTGTGTTTATCTTGGGGAACACAGCCTTTGTTTTTGCGTTAGCAGCGAGGAGCTAAAGGAGAACTGTTGGGGTCCTGTGCTGCCGAGGTTCACGTCATTATCAATGTAGATCGCGCTGGCTGTACGGAGCGGGACTCGGCGTTTGAAGCAGGAGGCTTTACAGGGAGACAGTCATCTCTCACGCGGGGAGAGCCAGACTCTCAACTGTTCCTCTGAAATTGGATTTCTATCCCCTGAGATTAGGATCAGGCTTCCCTTGCTCACTGTGGCTCTATTAGAAAAACATGCCGCCCTCTGAGGCCAGGAGAAGCTTGCAGCAAAAACCTCGTCATCATACTGGTGACCTTGACCTTCTAGGACTAGCCATAGTATGATCTCACACCAGGATGGCTTTCCCCTAAGAGTCTGTCTGTCTGTCTGCCTGAAGGTTGGTCCACATGCAGCTGCAGGTGTCATCCATTGACATGCACCCCCCCTTTGCCAAGCCTAAGGCGAGTGACAATCACTGCAGAGGAGGACAAAGGAGTATCTGTCTTCACTGAGACGAGCAAGCATGAACACTCCTCTCAATATGTCATTTACATGCCCACACAACAGCTTCTAACCACATGTATAACCGGTATTAACTATCAACTATTGTTAGGCTTTGCCGGTGCAGGATAATGTCAACATGCAATATGACACTGGTATCAGCAGCTGATAAAACAGTGTTTAATGTAACGCAGCCAGGATTTCGGAATCTGGAGAAGAAAACCCGGATCCATCTGGAAAAATATGGGTTTCTTGTATAAACAGAAATATTTTTTTTTGTCATTGGTATAAATTTCAGGATTCACGGCTCATTTGAACTTAACAAACACAAACGATCGCTTAAAAACGTCAAATGTACATGTCTGTAGACATACCAAAAAAAGATATTTGTTTACCGTGCTTAAAGTTTTGTTGGTGTGCTGGTTAAAGTCAAGCTAATGTTAACCATTACACTGTATAGAAACTTAAATCCTTTCTGCTAATATTTTTCTTTTTTTTGTGGTAAATACAAACACAAAAATACTTTTGTCCATCAATAGTTGCACAAACATTTAGTTACAGAGAAAAGCACTTTATTAAACAGACTGCACCCTACTTCCCCAGCACTCAACAGGAAATATTACTGGTCTCTAAGCATTTAGATGCTAAAGGAGAGGTAAGTAACCATGCTTGGTGGAGACCAAAATAAGAGCAACAATTCACATTTACCACTTGCACACATTCATCCAGTGCTTCCTTTATGCTAAGGTGCCCTGTCTAACATTCACACGCACACTCTGGTTGATGCACTCAAGGCTCAGTATCTCACCCAAGGATCCTGCAAAACATAGACTGGAAGTGTCAGGATTAATCCACCGACCTTTCAACCTGTAGGTGACCCGCTCTACACCTGAGCCACAACTGCTCCAAAAAGAGAACGATTATTAGAAAAACATAAAGAGTTAATGGAAAGAGTAATTCAATTCAATTCAATTTCAATTTTATTTATTAGCGCCAAATCACAACAAAGTCGCCTCAAGGCGCTTCATAGATACAGAGAAAAACCAACAATCATATGACCCCTTATGAGCAAGCACTTTGGCGACAGTGGGAAGGAAAAACTCCCTTTTACAGGAAGAAACCTCCGGCAGAACCAGGCTCAGGGAGGGCGGAAGGGAGGAAACAGGATAAAAGACATGCTGTGGAAATAAAAGACATGCTGTGGAAGTTAAAAGCTCACTTTGGAGGCAATGGTATTTTGAAGCTTCCAGCACAGCCAAGGTCTTCCAGGACAAGGCTTCCCTTTCAGTCACATGGTTAATATATATGAATACATATAAGTTAAAATGATGAAAAGCTAAATCATTGTCAAGTGATGGCCTGTATTTTTTCCTTAGCTCTATGCATCGCCAAGCTAAAGCCTGCTCAAATCTGATGGGAATCAAGGTGGACTATTAAACACAACCAGAACTTCCAGTACCAAAAATCTTGTCGCTTGCCTAATGCTTCTGTGTACTCACACGCAAATATCTCCTGACATTGATTCTTTCCACATCATCTGAGACTTGCCATTCATCATCACTAAACTTGACAGTCCATCCATCCACCCACCAGATTTCAAATAATGAAATATTTAAAGAGATGGACACAAAATAAACATACAGCTGCAATTCATTATACACGGTCTGAGATTTACATGTTTCCATGTTGCAGAAGTACCTCTGCAACCAGCATTTTCCCTGACTACAGACACATGAATGTTCTGCCTGTAGGCATTGGTATTCTCCTGGAGGTGTCTGTCATTAAGTGTGCCTATGCGAAGGCACACTTATTACTATTGCTCGGATTATTATTATTATTATTATTATTCTTTTTCCGCCTGAAATTTTGGACCTTAACTCGCCCACAGTTTTGAGACAAGGTTCACATATGATATATCATTGTGTGCGGCTGGAGCTGGAATGAGTTGCTATGACTTTTGGTGTTTATTACTTCTATAGTTTTTTAAATATGAATATTTTAATGCAAGTTTTTCCCATTGAAATGAATGGAGAACAAGAAAACTTCATTTGTGGTGTGCTGGCTCACTCTAGTGGTATGTCGGGAGTAATGCGAGGCGGCCGCTGTGTCCCTGTGTTGGCCTACTTGTCAGATATCGACAAATCCTACACTACAGACCAGTTGACAGCGTGCAATAACCAGCCGATTCATTCGTCTTTACACTACCTCACAATCGACTCAACGGTGAGTTATTTGTTTGTTTTGTTTTCTCACAATTAATGTAAAGCCAAGGTATATATCAACGGCGCGCACAGCGGAAGTATGGCGTCCCGCTTGCCCTTCACAATAAGAGCATTATAGCGGATTATAATGGGGGACGCTTTTATTTGTATAACTACCGGAAGTAGTTCCTGTGTACTGACGCTAGCTGGGTAGCTAGCGCCGCGTCGCTTAAAAAGCAGCCGGGCTTGTCTTAAACTTAAGAGGCTGACACTCGCTAAACACCCGATCGCTCGCCAAGCGACTGTTTCACACTGGACTTATTTTTCGTTAATATGGGCCGATAATTCCTTTATTCTAGTGGTATGCCGGGAGTGGTGCGGCCTATTCGGATTAACGTAATGATGACACTATCAACGGCGCGCGTCAGTCCGCCCCTCCTCCAGTTTGAAATTGACCTTAGAAGACACCGTAGCGTATGCTGGACCCGCATGCATCTGTCCACCTCTCCTCCGTTTTGAAGTTGACATTTGAACGTCATTTTCTGAAGTATTCGGAACAACAGTGTAAGGTTTGACAAGGTAAGTGTATCTCTCTCTGTCCGGTTTGAAATTTAGCTTTGAAAGTGATTTTTTAATGTGTCTGGGTGATTCTTTGTCGTGGTCATGTTCGGCACATGCTAAAGCTAGTTAGCGGGTATTCAGCCGAGGTCTACAAAATGATGGTATTTACAAATGAGGTATCTACAAAATGATGGTGTGGTTAGCACTTGGATGTCACTTTATTCCAGAGGTATCGTTTGTAATTAAAACTTTTAAGAAGCGAAGTGATATTTTTTTTTTTGTATGTGTATCTTGGCGATCGCATTTCACGCCCTTTGTCTCGGTGGTGGCTAGCTAGCGGATATTGAGCATAGGTAAGCCTCTCCGGCTTGAAAATGACTTTGAAAGTGATTTTCTGTGTCTGGACGCTGATATCTACAAAATGATGGTGTGGTTAGCACTTGGATGTCACTTTATTCCAGAGGTATCGTTTGTAATTAAAACTTTTAAGTGGCGACTGTCGCCGCGTCCAAAACAATAGCTTCGTTGTAGCCGCGTTTCACACCTCTTTTTCTGTTTTTATAAGGCGTTAACTACAGCAGCCTTTAACACCTCAACTCTTGCTTCAGCCAAGGTAAGTGCCCCCCTTATATTTTCTATGTGTGTGTTCAGCTGATATCTAGAAAATTGGTGTGTTTAGCGCTGGATGCCATTTTATTCCAGAGCCGTTGTTTGTAATTAAAACAAAGAGACAAAGAGGAACTTTACTGTTTGGAAGGGAGTAAAGTTCCTCTTTGTCTCTCAGTGGGACATTTCAACCATACAGTACAAGGCTACATTTCAGCTTTACAAGCCAATCAGTTTGCTAATTGTTCTTGTGAGATTTGTTTGCAAAGTTTAAGGTGTTAAATAGGAGCTGTGACCATCTGGGTCTGCTTGCTGCTGGCACTTTGCCAGAGCCCCAGCAACAAGACCGCCTCCCAGCTACGAGACTGCCTGTAAGCCTTGCAAGGTACCCAATTTTCCAATTA